CGCGTCTCCCGGGGTCTTTGTTCTTCTCTAATGGAGCCCGGAGCCGTTGCTCACCGCCGCGGCGGATCCTGCAGGGTTCGCCTCAGCTCCCGTTCACGGGGTGTGGTGGCTGCAATAGTTCCTTTCCGCTCACAGTCCCGCTTGCTGCGTCGTTTGTTCTTGTGGGTTGTTTTGGTTTGTTGTTTTCCTCCTCTCTGCCGGTCGGAGAGTGCCGCCTCTGTGGGCGGGGGAGGGGAGCAGGGTTCTGCGCTTCCCTCCCTTCTAGTCCTCTTTTATGGCCACTTTCTTCTTCGGGTAGTTTGCTGGCGTCACCCGTTTATCTTCCGTGTCCCAGTTCTCACTGGGACCTGCCGCTTTTCCTCCCTATTCACTTTTTTTAATGGGAGATCTTACTCGCAGCGTCTCCTCGCCGCCATGTTGCTCCGCCCACATTGCATAAATCTTTAAAAAAAAAAATTCAGCCTGAGTCTAAACCTAGTCCCTCATAATAGGAGATGAAAACATTTGTTGCTGAAGTCTTTTGAGTTGGATTTTTTTTGTTATTCAAATGCAAATGAAGCCTCTGAAGTGATAAACCAAAAGAAAAAGGATGAGAGGGAGAAACAGGGGCCCTGGAGGTCTGAGCCATGTTCACACTCAACATGTTCACACTTATTCCTGCAGAAAGCTGCACTGTGAAGGCTACACTACTAAATTAGCTGGCTTCTGGTTTTCAGATTAGGAGGTGCAAGAATCCCCAATTAGGCCAAAGGAATAAAAGAAAAAAAATCTTTGAGAAAAAAATTTTGTCTTTTTTCTTAAACATTAGAATTTTCATGCCCATTAAATGTGGATGGTCAAATCTGTCTTAACCCTCGCCATGAAGCTCTCTCCTTAGTAAGTCTCTCCCACTCACCAACCATTTCATGGTTCAGGTAAGTGGCCTCTCCCAGGAGGCCCCAGGGTCAGAGTCCTTAGCTGCAGGCCTTGGCCTCCCTCCCCAGCCAAACAGGGACACGCCCAATGTGTCTGCGATACTTCCTGGCAAATGTGCCCCCCGTGGGTTCTGGGCTCTGGGAGTTGGGGCTCAATGCTCACATGCTGAAGAATGGATACAAGTCAAAGCAGGGCCCCCTAACTTTTTTTCCCACAAGAAAACACCCCAAGGATCAGTGACTTCTTGGCAGCACATCCTGTTACAGTTGTGGGCACACCTGCCATGGCTCCAACTTGTTCTTCCTTCTCTGCCAGACGTGCGTGTGTGCATGGGGGTGTGGTGTGGTATGGAGTGGAGTGGTATGTATGATGTGGTGTGTGGTGTGTGCAATGTGGTGTGCATATGGTGTATGTGTGTGTGTCATGGTGTATATGAATGGTGTGGTGTGGTATGTGATGTGTGTGTCTGGGGTGTGTGTGGTGTGTGGTCTGGTATGCGGTGTGTGAATGAGGTGTGTGTTTGGCATGTGGTGCGTGCAGTGTGTATTGTAGTGTGTGTGGTGTGTGGTCTCTGTGTATGAGGGGGGTGTGTGTGATGTGTGGTGTGTATGAGTGGTGTTTGTATGGTGTGGGTGTGTGGTGTGGTGTGTGTGGTCTGTGTGTATGAGTGGTATGTGTGGTGTGGCAAGGTGTGGTATGTGTGAGATGTGTGTATGTGGTGTGTATGAGTGGTGTGTGGTGTGTGTGTGCAGGTGACAGGTGAGCTGGCACTTCCTGGCAAGAGGCTCAGAGGTCTGACTGGCTATCGCTGGCTGCCCCAACCTGCAGCTCGGGGCTAACAAGCGCCTCTGACTTGTCTTCCAGTCGGCACCCAGGTGGGGGTGAGACGTGTGTTTGGTCGGGCTCCAACCTTCTGCTCTCACAGTGGTGACTAAGGCAGGGTGCAGGCTTCAGCGAGGAGCGGGTGGACTGGGAACTGGATCAATCCCTCCATCCTCCTGCCGTCCGCTCAGGCCCTACGCCAGGAACACAGCCCAAGAATCGCTGAAAAGTGGTTTATTGTTTTTACAAAAGGCTTGTGAGTCGCAGGCTACCACGCCTCTTCTGGGTGTTTCACTACACACCCCACCTTAGGGACACCGACAAAGCCCTGGGGGTAATCGGCTGGTCCCAAACCCGCTGAAGTCACACCTCCTTACACACACCGGAAGCCCGAAGGCCTTGTGTTCTGAGGAACAGATGTTCAAGATCATGGGCTGGGCCAGGTTTGCTCTCCTTATTCTCCTGGCCTTTTAAGAGATGGGCGTGTGTGTGTGTGTGTGTGTGTGTGCGTGTGTGAATGTGTATAAAATGGGAGACAAATTCAAAAACCATAAAAAAAGACCCAGACCCCCAAATCAGGGAGTCCACACAATTTAGCTATGATTTTACTGAGGACAGACTGTCAGGCACTGTTTTAAGTGCTTCATAACTACTAAAACACTTAATCCTGGGCCTCCCTGGTGGCACAAGGAGTTAAGTCTCAGCACTATGAAGCTATCCGCAGCCACTGCAGCAGGAGTTCAATTCCCTGGCAGGAAGCTGACCCACATGGCGCAGCAGACCTCTCCTGTCTCACCCGCTGCTCCCCTCAGCAGTGTACTTCGGTCCTTCTGCCTGTTCTGCTCCCTGTTCTAATCTGGTGAATCCTCTCACCCTCCCCCTGCAACTCCACTCTGCCCTTCACCCCAGCTCTTGTATGCATAAATAAATCTTTCAAAGATTAAAAAAAAAACTACTTAATCCTCAGAACAACTCAATGGGCCAACCACTGCTGTGAATCCCATATCACAGTATCACAGATGAGGAAGCTGAGGCTGAGGGCGTGAGAACAAGCGGCCACGGTGGAGAGGTCGCAGTGAGCACAGGGGCGGCTCCAGATCAGCCCCCTGACCCCATAGACAGCCCACACTCCTGGGTCTTCCTCCCGAGACCCCTCTGGTGGGTGCAGGCCCCCTGACTCCCTGCCTTCCTGACTATGCGGCTTTGGGACAGGATTTCACCTCTGTGCTTCAGGTTATTTTTGTTATAAAATGTGCAAAAAAGAAAGAGAAATGGAAAGGCATGTACCTCAGGAGGCGGCCGTGTGGCCTCTCAGCCCGTGTCCTCGCTGTCCTTCAGGCCTGGCCCGGAGCGGCCTCCTTTCTTCTACCTGTCCTCAGGGCGCAGCTCTCAGCTGCAGGGGCCCTGCAGGCATGGATGGCGGGGCTCAGCCCCTTCCCAGGTGAGCGCTCAGGCTTCTCCCCTGTCCCCCACTGCAGCCTCCAGAGCGCCCTCCTTCTGCTCCAATTTTAAACAATTCTGCAACGTGTGGTGTAGGGGCAGGACAGGCACAGAGCAGGTTCTCTAGGACCAGAGCAGATGGGGTAGAGGAGGAGAGAGTCCTGGAGCCCTCGGTGGCTTTTCAGGCTTTTATTGGGATTTACAGGTACACGGCAGTCAGCGAGGGCTGGCAGGCCTCACTCTGTCTTCACTCTGTCTGGGCTCTCCGGCGATCTCTGCTGCTCTCGTGGTTCTTCATGCTTCCCTGCTTCATTCTGCTATTCTCGGCTTCTGCTGGTGTCCCTGTGACGCCGCCCTTATAAGCCCAGTTGTAGCCCAGGTGAATCCCATCTACACAGGCCCACACCCTACTCCAGGTGCCTGCCATCGGGCATGCATTCGGGACTGCAGAGTTCTGTCATCTATCCTAATGGCGGGAGGGCAGAAAAGCCTGATACTTTTACCTTACCCTACATGTGGCATTTTGCGCTCTGGAACAAAGACCCTGCTTCTGCCTGGTCCTTACCAAAGCTGAGAGAGTAAGCTCTGACCCCTGAGGCATCCCCAGGGCCCAGCTGTCACTGCCTCTCCTCCCACAGCAAACACTCAAGGCAAGTTTCCGAGTGGAAGATGGACAGATTCCAGAGCCTGCTGAGAGTGAGTTAAAGAACTGCGAGTCTGCAAGAAGATTCACTGGGGAGCCTGACAGGCGCCTCTGAACCCCACCCAGTCTGCAGAGTCTGGGACTGCAGTCTTTTGCGATTTTTCTCAGAGGACCCCCAACCTGAAACCCTTCATTCCAGTGCATGTTATGCTTCGCTTACGTATTACACAAGACTCATCCACACACATCCCCCATTTCTTCCTGGAATTCTTTAGAGGGAGGTTAAATCGGCTTGAAGTGGCCGCTCCATTTGGGCTGCAGATTTTCCCACTTGACAGGCTAATCCCCTCTCTGTCTCATCAGATAACCCTCTAGCAGGTTTAAGCAAAGACAGAGATCCCGGAGGCAGCCCCCGATGCTCCAGGAGACCATCCGGACTTCTTTACCAGGCCGCGGCCCTCTGGAATTCTCAGCACAAATAAACAAAAAGGCCCCTGTTGCCTGAGTTCTTTCGCGGGCGGGCCCCATCTGGGACAGAGGGGAAGAAAGAGTGCAGTTGAGACTCGTCCTCCCAGGGCCTCCTCAGAGGTGCTGGCAGAGAGCAAAGGGGCAGGCAGCAGTGTGTCCTCAGTGTGAGGGGCCTGCTCAGTTAATTCACCAAACTCTGACAACAGCTTTGCCCCTGGGCTTTCACATGCTTTAGGCACTAGTTAGTTCCATTTTTCTTACCCCAAACTGTTCCTTGGTAAAGAATTTAGGATTTGAATTAAGGGGGAATATAAGCAATTACAAAGCGTCAAATCCTTCGTCATTCAAGTTGAGGCTTCCAAGGTCAAACTCTCACATCCTGTCAGTCACATCACACAGAACAAGAGACACGTCAGTCAGAGACAAGAGACACCAGGCGATGCTATTTTCTCTCCATTTTGTGCTCACTGTAAGTGAAGGCTCTAGGAATGCCTTTCAAAGCACGTCTTGACATCAATAAATCACCTGGAGAAACAGCCAAATGTTTATTATCAGATTTCTGGGAAAAGATCTCTTTTCAGTATTTCAAAAACTGATATCTAAGCTCATTTTGGACTAGTTAGTAACCAAAATCATCTTCACTGGGGTTTTCAAATTGAAATAAAAGGTAAGCTCCAAATAAAAAGACTTAGGTCCACATTCAAATTGGAAATTAGAATTTATTTGCTGTTACACTTTTCTGGACAAAAGCAGCTGAAGAATTTTCTTCTTACTTTCTTATAACAAACACTGTCAGATTTTTTTTTTTTAAACAAAGCCAAACATGACAGAATTATAGTTGATTTCACAATGGTGTCCATCACAATCCACTTAAAATAACAAAACAGATTTGCTGCAATAAATGGTGCCATCTACCTTTTCAGCATTAGGCCTTTTCACTTCTGCATGGGCTAGATACCTTTTTCCTTAACATGACTTCTTCATTTTGCTTCTCTTGAGTTTCCTTGACTTAAAACCATGGCCTGAGGAAGACACAGTGAGGTTTTGTGATCCTGTTTGTTTTTCAAGTCGTAAAGCTGGACTGCTTGGAAAAACAACACCCTAAACCCAGCTGTGTCTGCAGTCACCTGGGTTGGCAAGTACGTGAGGCCTTGGTTCCTCCTGGAGCCACAGGGCAGAGCCAGTCCTTCCACCAGCCCATGGAAGGTGCCAGCAAACAGGAGATTTACATTTAATAGTGTTGTTACAGGCAAAGCATTTCCTTGAGCAAAAATCACCCTGACTTGGTGTTCAGAAGGAACACTGCATGTCACAGCCCGAGCTGCCTTTCTCAGGGAAGGATGCTTGAAATGCTACAGCCACTTCCTTGTTCAATTTCTTTTTCTCATTGTCACGTGCACGCTGTGATCTAAATTTCTTCATTGAAAATAAGAGGGGGAAAAAAATAAGAGGATAAAGAGAAGCAGAAAGTAAACAAATCGTTTTGCCATTAAGTTTTCTCCAGGGGCTCTGCAGATGTTTCTGGTGGTATCCACTCCTGTTTCAAACACGCCATGTTTTCAGTGCGAGGCAATTTGCATGAGGCACAGGATGTGGAAGCCAGAGAGGCTATAAATGTAAATCAGGCTTCCAAAGTCCCAGTGCTGGGATAGCTCTCATCCTGGCTGGCTCCGTCCGTGACCATTCCATGTGATTTACACTTTGCTTCCAAGAGTCCCATTGCCATTGTCCCGGCCACAGAGACCATTTGTAGGAAGTGAAATCAGGCCCATGGCCTGTGTCACGGCTGGTGCAGACATGCAAATGTCTTCTGGAAGTCTGATAAAATTATATTCTGACAATCTGTTTTCTGGATTCCAGGGACTATGCCAACAGGCAAGAAAGGAACAGGGCTATCTTGACGTTTCTTGGGCTGGGTCATAGAAAAATAGGTATTTTCCGGCGGGATTTTTTTGGTGGCTGAGAACAGTGCGGCTGGTATTGGGGGCACATGCCTCAGTCTTTCAGGGAGTGGTAGGCTTTGGCAGTCCTGCTGTTGACAAAATCTGTCTTCTTAAACTGAGCCTTTGAAGTAAGCAAACAGAAACGTGAAAGGTAACATTTTCACCCAAGAAATGCACCTTAAGTGACGTCACACCAGCATGAGCCAAGCAGAGCAGCACCCCTAGCCCTGCCTGTAGCAGCCCACCCTCGGACAGGTGGTTGGCATCCTTACCTTTTTGAATGTGTTGTGCAGCTCCGTGTGCGTCCATAGAGAGTACAGGAGCACGGAGGCGGCCTTGCTGGCCTTGCTGGCGGCGTAGCTGGAAAGGAGAAGAGGTTATTCTGAGCTGAGTGGGAAGGTCTAAGGCTCCTGCCAGCACCCTGCATGGACAGGCTCCACAGGTCAACTTTCATGGGACTCTTTGTTAAGATCGTTTCAAAGCTTCTTCATGTTTTCCTAGGGAGCAAATGGAAAACGGGCTCCTGTTACGAATCCAAGGCATCCCGGAATTTGACTCTTGGCGGATGCCCAGATGGCCTGCTTTTGTGTTCGTCCTGAATGCCCTCCTTCCGGCTGTGGACCTTTTTCTTAGATCTTTGTCCTCCATCACCTGGATTAGCACACAGGTGAATTTTTTCTTTTAACAACGAAGCAAAGATCATGCTCAGGGAAATAAGTCAGGAGAATAAAAAATATTGGATGGTCTCACTTATAGGAGGAATATAGAGGAACTAAACAAAGGGCCGGAAAAAAAAAAAAGACAAAACTTGCAGATAACCATAATCTGAGGCCTACAGCAGGGGAGAGGGTGGGAAAGGGGCCAAAACAGGAGAGGGACACGCACAAGGAACTATGGTGATGGTCATGGGTGATGTGGTGGTGGGAGATTTATGGGGACTACACCTGAAGGGAGAAATCAAATATTGTACAAAAATGAACTATGATGTAAGAAAATGAAAAATTTTTATCAATAAAAATTATTAAATATGAGAAATAAAAAGCAAAGACCTTATTTTTCCGATAAACAGCAGTGTGTAGATGCGCACCGAGAAGAGAGCAGAGCTGTGTGGAGAGCCACAAGCTGGGCTCGCCGAAGAGCTAAAATCCTCCCAGTCTCTTGGAGAGTAAGTCAAGTCATGTGACCTTGTGATCAGCATTTATTACATCATACACAGAAAACTTCATGGTTGTTTCGTTGTCCTTTTTCTTCCTCCCTCACAAAATTTCTCATTAAATTATATTTCTCGGGCCTCCCTGGTGGTACAAGGGATTAGGTCTTGGCACTATGAAGCTAACTCAGCCACTGCAGCACGAGTTTGATCCCCGGCCAGGGAGGTGACCCACATGGTGCAGCAGACCTCTCCTATCTCGCCTGTTGCTCCCCTCAGCAGTGGATTTCAGTAGATCCACCTGTTCTGCTCCCCACTCTGTCTGTGGTGAATCCTCTCACCCCACCCCATACCTCTGGCCTACATCTCAGTTCTTGTATGCATTAATAAATAAAATAAATCTTGGGCCTCCCCTGGTGGCACAGGCGATTGAGCACAGTGCTGTGAAGCTGTCCCGCAGCCTCTGCAGTGCCAGTTTGATCCTGGCCGGCCGGTGAGGGTCCCACATGACACAGCAGACCTCTCCTGTCACGCCCGCAGCTCCCCTCAGCAGTGTATTTGTCAGTCTGCCTATTCTGTTGCCTGCTATGTCTCTGGTGAATCCTCTCAATCTCCCGCACATCTGACCTGTACCCTGGTTCTTGTATAAAAAAATGAAATAAATAAAAAATAAATAAATAAATCTTGAAAAAAAAAAAAAAAGAACTACCTGAACCTTTTAAAAAATAAATAAATACATAAATAAAATAAATCTTTAAAAAAATCATTTCTTGTTTTGGGTTCCCTTGAGAGGACATATTTTAAAAATGTGTTTTTCAATGATTTTCTTTTTAACATTTGTATTCATAGATTTACTTTTTAATTTTTTTTGAAATTGCATCATAACCTTAGGCAGGTCAGCTGTGGTCACTGAACCCCAACACATTAACTCCCTCTTCAAGGTTCTGAGAAACCCACGAAAGGGATGGGTCTCAACGTCGCAAGGCTCTATGCTCATGCAGGCCTTTTACAAGCCAGTTGCTGGATGCTGGGAACTCAGGTGGGCAGAGACTGTGCTGCAGTGCTGCTTCCCAGGTTTCCCTGTGACCCTTGAGTGGGGAAGCTCAGTGGCCACAAGGGGCAGAGACTCCTTGTGGACTTTGCCAGGAGACGGTGTGGCGGACCCACTCAGTGGCCACGGGCCCTCCCTGGACCTCACCGGGCACTGCTGCTCTGCCCCAACACTAAACAACTGGGGTGCAGGGTCTCAGGCAGACCTGCGCAGAAGCCCAGGTGAAGGCTCGGAACAGCCACTCCTGTCTGCAACGATGATTCATTTTTCCACAAAGGCAGAGCAGCTGTACCCGTAGGCCTTGGGAAAGCGGGCCTGCTCCTGGGCAGGTGACTGAGGCCAAAGCCCTTTTTAGGATGTGACTCTGGATGTGGCTTCCTGCCTTGGTTGCTGCCAGGAGGGGCTGCAGGCCACGATAGGGGTAGGGGCGGAAGTGGGCCTTCACCCAGGGTGCCTGGTGTGGCTGAGCACAGCTGTCAGCTGCAGGGGGGCAGAGATCACCTTGTCATCAGAACCGGCTTCACAGCAGTGCTTTTTTATTTTGCTATTTACAAAAGTAACATTTCAGACATATAAAAAGAGAGGAATCCTTATGCCCCTTTGGGCCCCATTCTAAACAGTAGTAGTCATTTAGTTATAAAGGTTTTCATTCTCTTCCATGCTCCCCCCACCTTCTTTTCTTTTAATTATTAATTATTTTATTTTTTATTTTAATGAGGGAAATGTGAAGGCCCAGAAACAGGGACAAAGGGTGACTTAGTGTTTCACAACCACCCCAGCCAGGCAGGTTCATCTTCAGTTCTTACAGCTGAAGGTAATTTTGGAGGCTTCGGTAGATTTTTACAGGCCTTTAATGCTCTGAAGTTTGCTCAGGACATCCTTCCCCCCTAACAAGGGAACAGACTCTCCTCTGTCCTAGTAGTGTCATCTGAGCAATGAGCCCTTTTATTCCTGCCTCCAGGCTCAGGTGTGCACACTTACACTCATGCACACAAACACACATTCCAGGTAGGCGTGACTGCACCCACACTCCTGTCTCAAAGGGATCAAGGCAGCAGGTGAGAGTCACAGTGACTAACGGTGTAAAAAGCCTGATTAATTCATTTACCCCACACTTTGGCATTAACCTGTTCTCAAGGGGGAGCATGAGGTGAGAGGTTAGGACGGGGCTGAGGAAGCGCCAAGTCCCTGCTAGGCTGGCTCCCACTTCCCACAGGGTCACACTGCTGCTTGGAGCCACCAGGGAGGGCACAGGTCCCATAGACTCCGGGTGGAGAAGGGGCCCCCTGCGCACAGGCCTCGCCCTCCCCTGGCCTGCGCACTGCTGCTCTCACTGCCCAGCTGGGGTGGGAAGGCTAACAGCACTGCTGGGTGGACTGAGGGGTTTGGGGGTGTTGGGCTCAGAGAGGGGAGGGCAGCTGCAGCCTGGAGCACCCCCTCACTGCCTAGTTGCCCAGCTTTCCACTTACTGGATTGAGACCTCATGACCAGATGACCCACGCTGGGCAGAGGTGGTGGGACTGGGCAGATGTGAGGGGCTTACCTGTCGCCGGCACTGATGGCCATGATCTTCTGCAGGCCCCCCGTGTTCAGAAGGTCCCGCGCATTCTGGTAGCTGTTCTGGATGATGTTGGTCAGGGTGTAGCAGGCGGAGGCTGTGGTCTCGATGAGGAGCTCTGTCCGTGGGGCGGTGTCAGGGATAATGGAAACCAAGTCGGGCAGTGTCTCCTTGGCTACAAGAGCAAAGAAAAAGTTCACTTGATCCAAAAGATTATTTCTTGATCTCAAGATCTCTATACATTTTTGGATGAAGGACATTTTTTAAAGAAACGTAAATGGTTACCAAACATGGAAAGCTCTCTAAGATGCGAATTTTAATAAGATTTTTAAGCATGTGGTGGTTGAATCTTAAGGTCAATTTTAACATGAATTAAACAGTTGATGCAAGTTTTTTTAAAGATTTATTTATTTATGCATACAAGAACTGGGGTACAGGCCAGAGGTGTGGGGGGTGAGAGGATTCACCAGAGACAGAGTGGGGAGCAGAACAGGCAGTTGTACTGAAATCCACTCCTGAGGGGAGCAGCGGGTGTGACAGGAGAGGTCTGCTGTTCCAATGGGGGTAGCTCCTTGGCCAGCCATGGATCGAACTCATGCTGCAAAGGCTGTGGATAGCTCCAGAGTGCTGTGCTTAACCCCTTACCCCACCAGGGAGGCCCCAGTTGATGCAATTTTTAATATGGCTTAAAACAACAAAATTGGGTTTGTAAGATGACTTTTTCTTTTCATGAGTTTTGAAATCTAGCCCCAGACATATTGAGTTGAGAGATTCTTAGCACATAGTAGGTGCTGAAGAGATTCACTGGGGAGAGGGCTAGCCACCGGAACTGAATTTGAGATAAAGTTTTTTTCCACCAACCATCTGTCAGTACCACTTTTTTACGTTTTTCAATAGTTACGTTTTTCAGTATTTAAAAAGACAAAGTATTTCGTGCATCTGAGATTCTGTACTCCGTGAAAAGCTCATTTGGACACTGGCCAGGAGCTGACAAGTTAAAAGTTATCAATATGGAGCTGACCCAGCATGGTTGTCAAGGGCGTCTCCACGCCAGCCTGACAGGAGAAGGAACCCTTTGACAAATCCAAAACCACTTTTACAGGAGTGAGAGGCCTGCCTGGATTTGTGCCATCACCCTTTTTGTTCTTGGGAGAGTAGATGTCTTGTGGGCAAGTCTGTCTGAATGGGACACTTGAGCTTATCAAAATGTCTGCAACAGTTTGTCAAAGAAGTTTAGCCCTTTTTTAACAAAAAATAAAACAGATTTTTAAAAGGATGATACTCTGTATTCAGCCAGTTAGAAATCTTTTCAGAAAGCAATTTGACAGAAAGTGATTCTTGACAGAAATGGCAAGGATTTTTTTTTTTTTTTTTTTTATAGAGGCATGTTTTATTTATTTATTTGTTTGTTTGTTTGTTTGTTTTGTTTATACAAGCACTGGGTACAGTCAGAAGCGCAGGAGGGTGAGAGAATTCACCAGAGCCAGAGCGGGGAGCAGAGCAGGCAAAAGGACCGAAGTACACTGCTGAGGGGAGCAGCGGGCGGCAGGAGAGGTCTGCGCGCCATGTGGGACCCTCCTCTGGTGGCCGGGGAGCAGCCGGGGATAGAACCGGCGCTGCAGAGGCCGCAGGCAGCTTCGCAACCCAGCGCTCAACCGCTGCGCCACCGGGGAGGCCCAAATGGCAAGGATTTTAAAGATTTTTTTAAAAATATCTTTTGACTCAATAATCCAACTTCTGGAAAGTCAGCCTAAAGACATCACTTTAAAAATGCAAAAAGCTCTGAAGAACTCTTTATTAGAAAGAATCAAATATAAATGAAACAATATAAAAAGTTTAAATATTCCAATAGGACCTTCCTAATGGCACAAGGAACCTATAGGAAGCCATTGCAGTACAAGTTCGATCCCTGGCCAGGGAGCTACCCACATGGTATAGCAGACCTCTCCTGTCTTGCCCGCTGCGCCTCTCAGCAGTGAATTTCAGTAAATCTGCCTGTTCTGCTCCCCACTCTGTCTCTGGTGAATCCTCTCACCCCCTCCATACCTCTGGCCGATACCCTAGCTCTTGTATGCATAAATAAATAAAATAAATCTAAAATAAATAGATATTCCAATAGGAATAGAATTTTAAAATATCAGCAAAGAATATTACACAGCCCAAAACATATCTGTGATGCAAATATAAGAAAACTAACAGTTTATGGGAACAATTGGTATACTTACTTACACAATATGTAACATCAGCACATCCCAAAGGAAAGTGAACAGAAGAAACATCAGAAGAGGGGCCTCCCTGGTGGTGTAGGAGTGAAGTCTCAGGGCTATAAAGTTATCACCAGCCACTGTGGCATGAGTTCAATTCCTGGCCAGGTTGCTGACACACATGGCACAGCAGACCTCTCCTGTCTCATCTGCTGCTCCCCTCAGCAGTGCACTTTGGTCAATCTGCCTGCCTACTCCCTACTCTGTCTCTAGTGAAAAAATCCTCTCACCCCCCACACCTCTGGCTTATACTCCAGCTCTTATATGCATAAATAAATAAATCTTAAAAAAAAAAACAAACTTGAGAAGAAATACATTGATATTAATAGGAGCTGGTTTTTTTTTCCCCAGTGGAGATATTTTTCTGTGCCTACACTGATGGCGGCCTAGCTGTGCCTGTGCCACCCAGTTTCTTCATAAATAACACAATGATTACAAAAGAGAAATTTCTCAAAAAAACTGTATCACGTGGTGAGTTCTTGGTTATAGGTTTTCAGCTTGGCCTTTTCTTCCGGCCCCAGAGGGGCTACATAGTTGCTGTCTTTGTTCTCACCAACCCTTCACTGGATACTCTGGCCAATGTGAACGTGTACTTGATTTCTGGGTAATCCTTCTTTTCACAGATGTTCCCTCCACCTTCTGGAACCTTCTCAGAAGCCAGGGCACAGGGGATGGCAAGTCCTCAGTTCACCTGCTGCCTCCCCCTGTACCCTGAGCCTCCATGGCCTGTGATTCGCCCTCTGCCATCTGGAAACACGATTAGCCTGTGTCTGTCTGAATTCCTGAGGCCAAAACCTGCTTCATCTCCGGCTTACGGCATAGATGGCCATGCCAGCCACAGGGGGGCCCTCAGCTGCTGACCCCCAAGGGTGATGGGTAAGGCCTTGGCCTGCCTGGCTAGATAGGCACGCCTGCTGCTCCGACACCTGAAGGTCCCTTTCTACTGTCGCTTAAGCGCCTCGCACGGTGCCAAGAGCACGGAGCTTGGTGCTGAGGATGCAGGGGGGCAGCCGTGCTTCAACTCGTCCTGTGGCTGCCACCTCCTGGCCACAAGGCCTGGGTAGGCTGCCCAGCCCCCTGCAGTGCTGCCCCATCTGTGACCGGGGTTAAGGACAGCATCTACTTCCCAGGGCTGCTGGGAAGGCCTGAGTGAGTTGGTACTGGTAGATTGTCCATCATAAGCTCTCACTAGCTAGGAGCTTTTACAAGTTGAAGCCCAGGATGAAAGGCCTAGAGATGTGCATTTTAGTTCAGGTTCACGACACGGACATAAGCCCTAGACCATCATAACAGACCGTCCTCATGAACCCCTCTGCAACCATCCCATGGGGTCCCCCACCTCCAAACCAGGAAGGCTGAAATGGGGTCATGTCCTAGGAGTGAAATGAAAGAAGCTGAAGTCTTGAACTCTTTATGTTATCTTTGCTTTTCTTAGAAAAGTAGTGGCACAGCTATTTGCACAAAGCCCAGCACTGGGTCTCTGGCCTTCTCCGAGTGTGAGTGTGAGTGTATATAAGCACACACACATATATGTGTAGGTAAACAGCAATCATGTATTGGTCATCTGTGACACAGGTGATTTTGTACTATATATTCTATTGGGTTGTTGGACAAGTCACGGTGCATTTTTGCTTGGAAAAACAGAAAAAATACACCATGACTTGTCCAACAACCCAATACATACATGTACAGACATATGTGCTATACACACATGTAGGCTGTTCATGTGCTTGCGTACATACACTAACCTGCTCCTATGACTGTGGGCCCAGAAAATACATTTGTGCTGGATAATTAAAACAGGATCTTGCAAGTTTTCTGTGATGGGGAAGCTGGGGAGATCCTCACCCATCCGAGCACATGGGAGGTCATGCCCCCATCCCTTTCTCTGTCTCTGGAAACCCCTCAATCAAATGGTTTGACCCTAGAATAATAAATATGACCTTGTATATAAAATTAAAGGCCCTGCCCTGACACTGGGGCCAAGACATTATCTAGGTGTCTGAAAACAGCTGTAACAATGAATGGGAACAGAGATCCCAGAAATGCATCCCAGTATTTCCTGGTGCTTGCACACATATTCTGCTGTTTGATCCTGTGAGGGATCAATTACAGCCTCCCCTGGCTCAGCACAGTCACGTGGCCAGGTGCCAAGATGACGAGGTGGCAGTGAGGGGGCATGGTGGCCTGGGAGCCTACAGGGTGCAGATCCGCATCCTCCATGTGGCCTGGTATCCCTCACCAGGCCAAGTCACCTGTCTTCGTTTTAAGTTTCTTTCTGTAAATCTGATGACTTCATTCCAGGTCAGCACATGGAAAAGATTTTTTCCAGGCCTAGAAATCTCACGTGAGAGACCCAAGGCATGTATTTCAAGCCGATTCTCCCTTATACCTGGCTATTCATACTCTGAGTCGAAGCGTATCGTTTTAGTCAAATTATATATTGCCATAAAGCCAATCTGGAACTAGCAGATTTAGTTTGCTGCAGCCACTTATTTTTTTTACCGGCCTGATCACAGAAGAGGAAAGGGCTTGTCAGAGGAGGCATCTCGTGTAAGGGCTCCACCAGCCGTCACTTGTGCCCGGAGACACGGCTCAGCAGAGTGCGGCTGTTTTCAATACGGAGACATGTGGGAAAGAAGAGCCGGAGGCCAGGCTCCTGTGAGCTTCCAGGACAATTTCCAGGCTCCTCTCCATTCATAACCTCACGAAACCATTGTCTCCACTGCCTACCTGAAGCCGCACTGCCGGCTGTCTTGGGACAGGACATTGTTAAAACACAGGCACAGACTTCACATCTCTGTGCATGTTCCAAACTATCCAATCCATTAAAAACAGTTTATCATTTCAGTGGAACTTTATAAAAAACTGAATTTCCAGCTGTCAGGAAGGACTAATTTATGGGCATTCGGGAGCACGAGGAGTTTTAGTATCTTCCTATTGCCACTTCTGACTTGATTCACAAACATGGATCAGATGCTCACAGGGATAACTGAATGAATTACACGAGAGGATCATCTGATGTGGTCTTTCCATAGTGGAGCATCATCATCTTTTCCAGTTAATATTGACTCAAAAAGGGGGCAAAAAGGTTTCCCGTATTTACCCTCACCACCATCCATGCAGAATGTGCTAGATGCAGTGACGGCGTCTTGTCTTTTTTTGGCCAACAGTCAAGTGTCTAAAGGAATGGTTGGGGCCTCTCTGGTGGCTCAGGGGGTTAAATATCAGCACCGTGAAGCTATCCACAGCCACTGCAGCACAAGTCAGATCCCCAGCCAGGGAGGTGATCCACATGGCTCAACAGACCTCTCCTGTCTCACCCGCTGCTCCCCTCAGCAGTGTATTTCAGTCAATTTGCTTGTTCTGTTCCCCCACTCTGTCTCTGATGAATCCTCTCACCACCGCCCCTGCCCCCACCCCTCTGGCCTGCACCCCAGCTCTTGTATGCATGCATAAATAAATCTTTTTTTAAAAAAAATAAAGAAGCAGTCGCTGCTTCTATACCATCCACAAGAGTGGTATTGGGGTATCTGTATTTGGGGCACACGTCACCGCTGGACTCACCGATCTCGTTCTGCAGGGCGAGGTTCCGGGACAGGTTCCGCAGCAGGCAGACAGCGGCCTTCTTCACCGCTGGGTCACCCAGGTGCAGCGTCTTCCGGGCATGCTGCAGGCCGTTCTCCTTCTGGACCACCGTCTGGGACACTGCTGTGGGCATCTGTGTGGCGAGACCCAGGCTCTGAGTGCCCCCACACTTGTGACACTGCCTGGGGAATGCTCCCTGGGGGGTGTGCAGGGCCAGAGCAAGACGAAACCACTCTCTAAAATCCCACAAGGTTTCTACTTAATTACTGGGTACAAGAAGCCCATTCAGTGTTTTAAGTTATGATGCTGGGTAAAGTTTGTGGGGGAAATGTTTTGCTTTTCATAAAGATATCAAATTAAGTGTTCTTAAGGTGTTTTTGAAGCCTGAAAACTTTATTTCAATGACTCTTACTTTTTAATATGGGGTGTTTAATCTGTTTCTTTTTATTGAGCTATAACATTATACTAGTTACAGGTATAGACACAAGGATCTAGTTTATGTATATATACACATGTATAGGCATGTATCTATGTTGAAACAGTGACCACAGTAAGTTTAGTTAGCATCCATCACCATACCTCGTTACAATTTTATAAATTTTATTGGCCTTTGTGTGATTTTGTTGAGCTGAGAATTTTTAAGATCCACTGTCGCCAACTTTCAAATACACAGCACATCTTCAGGGCTTATGTATTTTAAAACTGAGCCTCTTAGTGTATTTTATACTTTTTATTTATACTGTACTTAGAGAGTTTGCTAAATGGGGAAACTTTTATCAGTTTTACCCCCTTACTCTGTTTATTACGAGAATGCCCATTGTATCTAACCTGATGAAGTTTATAGTGACATTGCTTTACTAGCAATTAAAGGGAAATTTTGGACTTAATTTATATAATCTATCAGGAAGCTATTCAATTCAGTTTAGGTCTTTGCCATTCAAGGCACACAGCCATCAGTTGCTTCTCACTGTCTCACTTATGAACACCTGGGTGATGGAATGGATATTTTCTGGAGCTATTAAATGGTCTATTCTACTCGAGGACTCCTTTCAGAAATGACAAAACCAAGATTTTTTATCATACCATCACAACATAAGAAAATTAGGAAAAGTCATAACTGGTAGGAATGTACATTTAAGTGACAATTCTAATACACAGTGTCTCAGACCTTTAAAGAATAAAGGGTCCTCATGTCACTGTTCCAGTAGTGTCCAGTCAAGACCAGCTCCAATGACCTCAGGATGGACATGGGTCAGGCGCACTGTCAGCTGCCTGCACACAGTAGGACAGTCATGAGGACCTCGCTCGCCGCTGCCAGGCCCTGGTGGACTCGGAAACTCCCACTAACTTGGATGTCTGTTCACCTGGCTGGATGATTGCCAAGCACAGGGGCCCTGCCTCCTGGTTTCCTTCACCACCACATATGCGCATGGCAGGAGCGCCCGAGATGTCAGAAGTGCCACAGATGCTGGTTTAACAAGCAAAGGGCTCAATGTAATAAACGGTGTGTTCAGAGCTTAAGCAGCATCTCCCTGGGCTGTTTGGATTCCGAGACAGATCTTAGTGGGGAAGACGCTTAAAGGGGCATTAGCTCATAGTGAACCACAGGCAGAGCACAAAGAGCTGACACTAACACGTGTACAAGTGCACAAGTGCACACACACAAGTGCACGTACACAGCTTAACTTTTGACATTTTTCTTTTAAGTTGGCAGGGAGTTAATAAGAGGGCTTGTGTAGTTTGGGGAATGTTTTGGGAAACCTAACATGGAAAAGGAGAAAGTGAGAGGATAATGTGGGTCAGCTGGGGTTCCCTGGCAGTTCCCTGTGTCTTCCTCTTTGGGCACACAGATATTCTGCAAAAAAATTATCAGAAATTAGAGCTTGTTCTTAACCATAGTGCTAACAAAAGGGAAATACTGAGTTTGGGATTTCATAATTTTATCAAATCAGAGCAAGCTTCTGGGCAGCTCTCCTGCCCACCTGTGACCATGCAGGTGCCTCTTTGTCTCCTTTTCCTAATAAGCCTGTCCTTTTAAAAATGTGGGGAAGAAGGAGCAAGCCTCAGATTACACATGTCAAAGAATGAACATGGTTTTCAAGGCAAGGATAACTAAGATTGCTATTACCAACCAGAGTCCTTTTCTCCATGAAGATGGTGCTGGTCACAAGAGGAACTATTGAGTATTCTAGTCACTTTACGATCAAGGCAAATAATATAAGTTTAGTTCAAATAATGACACGTTTAAGGAAGCCCTACCTATGTAGCAAGTTTCCGAGGAAGGCAGTAACTTTTACTGTTTTATATATTTCAACTTCGATGCTGTAGACGAAGCATCTGAAGGAAGAGCGGCTCACGTGACCTGGGGTCCTGGGCATGGAAGCACAGGTGTCCTTCCCGTCCTGAGTGCACCTGTTGTTGCCCTGCGGGGTGGGGGATGCGGGGGGCTGTTCTCCCTCTGGGCACCAGCTCTGACTTTCCATGTGGTAACACTCCTTTAGCTTCTGTCCTTGCCGGACAGTGGCAGGCCCCTCCCCGCGTGCGGCTGGCTCCAGAAAACCACAGGTGGCGGGGTACCCAGCACCAGGTAGTCTGAACAGCACCTGCTCCCAGCGTGGGGACCATATCAGAAAGAGGCATGGAGGCTCCCTCCCTGAGCTCACAACAGAGCTCCTGGGGGCACTGACCAGGTCAAGTGTGAGCTGGAATGATCAGGGCCCCTGGCTGCGCGTGAGGGGTGGCTTTGAGAAGCAAGCCCAGAGGCGGAGCTTGGTGAGTATAATCTCTGAGGAAGGGAGACCCCAGGGAGGCCCCAGGGACACCAGTCTGGAAGCTCCCCTCCGCTGAACCCAGCTCAAGGCGGGGCTGGCGCTGCCAGGGCCTGACGTGCACGTCGGTGTGCCTCAGTGTGGTTATTTCAAGGAGAGGACATGACGCCACACTTACAGGCCCGTTCCCCGCGGTCAGGTTCTGCAGTGCGCCCAGGGCGGCCTCCTGCGTGTAGCTGCGGGTGCTCTTGGCAATCAGGGACAGGTACATCCGCGTCACGATGGAGTGCCACAGCCACTCCACGCCCTTGGGGTTGCTCTTCTCCTCGGGCATCGGCAAGTCCTGGTAGTGCTGCCACACAGGGGTTGTGGGGGAGAGAAGACAGAGTGAACACCTGTGGTGACCCCACACCCTCCCCGTGTTAGTCCCGGACAGAGCCCTACAGCCTCGGGGCTGCCCAAGACAAGGGTCAGCAGGCAAGTGTGTGCAGCTTCCAGGCCCTGAAGTTTCAGCTGTCATGGCTTCTCCCCGAAGATGCCACATTACAGTGGGGCATCCTGACACTTCACAGCAGGGGAGCACTCAGTGTAGACTCTTCTGGAATCATGTCCAGGCTTCTGTTAAGCTAAGAGCTAAGTAAGTGATAGTTGCCGTGAATCCTGGAGTCGGGATTCTAAGTTCCCCAGCTCTCAGACATGCTGCTGTGAGGAGGAGGGCACATGTTTCCGTCTCCAGGGAGTGCCAGTGCTCCTTCCTGCGGGGCTTGCCTTTAGTGTGACTGAAGAAAGTTTCCAATATTCAAAACCAAACAGCAGGGTTGCTTCTAATGTTAAAACAGCTTCTAAGAGAGCCTCCCTGGTGGCACAGGGGTTAAATCTCAGCACTATTAAGCTGTCACCAGCCACTGAGGCCTGAGTTCGATCCCCGGCCAGGGAGCAACCCACATGGCGCAGTAGACTTCTGACTCACCCGCTGCTCCCTTCAGCAGAGTATCTCAGTAGATCCACCTGTTCTGCTCCTCACTCTGTCTCTGGTGAATACTCTCAACCCCTGCACCCCTGGCCTAAACCCCAGCTCTTGTATGCATAAATAAATAAAATAAATCTAAAATAGCTTCTAAGAGAGGTGAACACACCCGTGTTCTCAGCAGTCCCACCTCAGTGCTCACCAGCAAGTGAGCAGATAAACAAACTATGGAGCTTGTCATCGGTGGAATACTACTCAGCCAGTAAAAAAGGACGCAGCAGTGCCCTGTGTTAGGACAAAATAGATGGCCCTTGAGGGGGTGATGTTAAGTGAAGTAAGCCAAAGTGAAAGATGGATACGGGATGGTTTCCCTCATTTGTGGACTATAAATAACCAAGTTTATTACTGGTGAATGATAATATGTATTGGCAAAACAAGAATGATTCTTTGAGCCTGTGAAAAATATACGTTACCCGAGGGGATGGGAGAGAGCAGTGGAAGGAGAGGGAGGGGTGAATAGGAGAGGAAAGGGGTAGGTGGGAGGGAGGGAAGGAGTGGTGGGGGAAGGGACAGGCTACAGCCCAGCAGCACTGCTGGAAGGGGAGGGAGCACGAGCCCCGGTGGAGGGGAAGCCGCGTGCCCATGGCTATGTTAATGTCAGACCAACAGGACTTGAGGGAAGCAGCGACCACTGCTCTGGCCATGCTGCAGGAGCTCGTCTCCTGGCCGCAGGGCACATGTGGGCTCACATCTCAAGCCGCCTGGAGTTGGCCCTGGGGACTCACTCACACCCTCCCGTGACTTGCTGAATAAGTCTGGGAAAATCAACCCACTGCTCTGCAGTTCTACTTCCCCCAGCACTTGAAGGTGTCGATCATCACGGGGCTGATTTGGGATCAGAGGCCTTCAGTAGCGCCAGCCTCCCCGTGATGGGCACACTCAGGGACCCAGTTCACCTCTTTTATTTTCCTGCTTCGGCTGCCGAAACACCCGATGCTCTTGTTGTCGTCTGCCTGCACGGTGCGGTTCTGAACATAGATGTTCTGGGAGTACCTGTCAGGGAGCTCGGCCTCCAGCTGGTAGGAGAGGTTGTGCAGGACACACACGCAGTTTTCCGTGGCCTGGGGAGACAGGAGGCTGCTGACCCAACAGACTCACCTCTGTGGGTGACAGCGCCGGGACCGTCGGCTGTGGGTCCTGCAGGCCTACTAAGCGCAGCAGCATGGGCTGGGACTGCGGGCTGGGAGTGGACTGTGGGGCTGGGAGAGGGCTGTAGAGGCCAGGAGTGGACAGTGGGGCCAGGAGTGGACTTCAGGGGCTGGAAGTGGACTGTGGGTCTGGGAATGGACTTCAGGGGCCAGGAGTGGACTTCAGGGGTTGGGAGTGAACTGTGGGGCTGGGAGTGGACTTCAGGGGCCGGGAGTGGACTCTGGGGCCAGGAGTGGATTGTGGGGCTGGGGGCAAAGGCTAGACCATGAACGGCTGTGTGCACTGGGAGGTGGAGGCCCCTTACACAGGGAGAGACCTTCCAGTCCACGCTATGGAGTGCGTGCTCGAATGGCTCCATATTCCAGAGGCACAAGTGGCAGCCACAGGGAGCTGGCGGGTAGGAGGGGCTGCTGCATGCATGTGGCCTCAGGAGACTACTGTCATTACAAAGGGACCCCACAGCAAGTGGTGGGGACACACGCAGGGCATTGGGGGTGGGACACCCAGGGAAGTGGGATGGAGGGAGGGAGGCAGAGCCAGTGGAATGGGTTCTGGGCTCATCTGGGCGATGGTGCAATTATGCAGAACACCGATGGGGCTCGCTGGAAATGAGTGGAGAAGCACTGAAGTTCCTGGTTGACCAGCCGCAGCTGGGCTCCTGACAAGAGGCTGCTTAGAGCTGTTAAGTGAGTGTTTGGAAATCTCTGGGAATCGGAAGATGAGTCCACCTAGATTTTAGCATTTCCCGACACATCAGGGAAACCTGAAACCCAGCAAATGGGTTAATGAATGTCACTGAGCCAGGCAGCCGCGCCAGGAATCCCAAGAAGCGCAGTGGGGCCCTGGTAGATGTGTGACTTAAGCCCGAGCTACCTTGTCGTCTGGCTGGTAGTCGGCGATGGTGCCCCGGACGTAGTGGACCAGGGAGTCGATCAGCCCGTCACTCCTCCGCATCACCTTCCTGCCGTCGGGGCCAGCAGAGCTCATGTTTCTGTGGGTGGGGGAGGAGGGGGGGTGAGAAGCAAACACCCAAGGATCAGACCTGGCCGAACACCCGAAACATCTTGCTCCCGAACATCCCGATGCTGCCCCCACGTCTGCAGGCGTGACGGGACTTGTCTGGGGTCAGCCAGCGTCACTTGCCTAAGGTCCCCCAATCTGGACACAGCCACTCACACCCTCCCTGAACACACCCTCCTCTCAGTAACCCTCCTGCCCACAGTGCTCTGGCACAAGGTGAGGGTGCGGTCTATCCGAACTTGGCCACATTTCTGAGTGGGCAGGAAGGCGGCAAAGGAGTGAATGGGACCACAAACTTGTGTGTGGGGGGTGGCCTGGCCCCGTCTGTGTTCTTGTACCACATAACATGGAGTTACCCAGATGAGCCTCAATTTCCCCACTTGTTGGGCGTGGAGCTCTCTTATAGGTTCTGTAGACTTCTGTACAGAGAAGTGTCATTGCCAAATACGTCCCGGGTGTTCTTAATGCGATCATCCTCTCATGGCAACAGCAGAGGTGCAACGGGAAGGACAGATTCTCAGCGTGCTGGGCCCAAGTCAAGAGTGTGACCTTGGTTGATGGCTGATCTCGAGAGGCATGATGCCCTCTGTAAACAGTAACTGGGCCATGGGTGGAAGCTGCTTCCTTACGGAGACTGGAAGCCCAGGGATGACCTCAGGGTTGTGCTTGAGAGCCAGTCATGCTTCTGTTCTGGTGCTATCGCCACTGTCTTTTTTGGCTCAAATTTTTCTTGTTAGCATTAGGCACGTGACAATGGTTTTCCCCAAAAGGTTAGCATGTGTGTCAGTGCGAATGGCAAAAGAGTAGCCTGCAGGCCTGTGGGCTGCTGAGACACCCTCGCTGCCTTCAGCCACTAGGAGCTGTTTCTGCACACTTATCAGATAGCTCCCTGGTCCGAAGAGGATCCAAAGTGTGTCAAAAACCTTCTGTTTAAATTGTTGGCATGATTTTGAACCTCACCAAGAACAGTAATTCTGACACCGCTTAGGCCCAATGGTCTTCATATTTAAAAAGATACATCACACCCGAATGATTTCACAAGCTGCTCTGCCCCCAAATCCAGCATGGGGCATAAGCCATCAGAGGACAGATGAACCACCGCTGAGCAAGAACCGCCCTGCCCCCCCATAGAGGTCACATGGCAGACATGGAGGCAGATGGCCCCACAGCTGACACCACCTATGTGGCTGCTTTGAACCCACAAAAATGCAAGTTCACACTTTAGCCTCATAATTAAGATAAGAGCCAAGCGCTCTCAAACTGAGGACTTTAAATACTTTAAAACCAAGTTGGCCAGGTACAGTGGAAATTCAATATAGTCCAAATTCACTGTCTGATTCAAGACTCACTTTCTTATTGAGTTTCCACTCTATCTGACAAATTTTGTCAATTAAAAAAAAAAAGACAGCACTGGGCTCAGGACCTGCAAATACAGTCATTGGTACCAGATTTTTTTCCTCAAGAAATAATCATTTGAACCAAGAGCCTCAGTGTGCTGTCTGTGTCTTTTAAGACCAGAGGATTTTCAGAAGCAGTGAGGACACTGGAAACATGGGGACACTGAGGGCCAGAGGCTGAAGCAACATCCCTGGTGACCGGAACCAGTGAGGAAGGAGGACCCCTCCCTCCTGCAGGTGGTTCCCCAGCAAGGCTCATGTCTGCTGTTTGCTCAGCAAATACCACGTGTCCCCCAACCAAGACAATGTGATTCTGTGTTTTAAAGCTTCCCTGTGACCTTCTCCACCCATGGCCTGGAGAGATGGCAGCAGTTTCCAACTGCTTTGATGGGTCAAAGGCCTGTCCTCCCCAGCTGAGCCTCCCCGCACGCTGCATATGGGCTGGCCCCACTCTGCTAAGACCATTGAGACTGTTTATTTTGGGCGAGAACGGTAAGTTACTTTGGCAGGACGGCAGTTCACAGGCACTCACTTCTGCCCAGGGTTTGGTATTATCCAGATGCGACTGCTTGAAATGGGACTTATCAAGGGTTTCTGCCACTTAATAGTGCTGCTGACAGTGAGTGCCTGGAACCACTGCACCAGCATCTGCTTCTGCATTGCAGAAATAGTTCCCACCTTACCCAACCGCCCAGAATGGAAATGATAAGGATAGATTATTTTATAGCACCACATCCACAAATAGCCATCACCAGCCAGAGAAGAATTTGTTATGGAGGCATTCTGAAGACACGCAGCGATTATTAGAAAATGACACATATCCATCATAAAGCGTTTTTCCAACAGCTCATTCTTAAGTTTGTGGAAATCAGAGATACAACATGGTGATTTTTAAGCAGAATTGATCCTTTTCTGACCCATGTCCTGAATCCTGAGAAATACTGTTTTATAACTTTCTTATATAGGATTCAGCAGAGTTTAATGTGCAAAAATTTCCCCAAACTGTAATGGAAACAGTATCAAACAGCAACAGATCAAAATAATGACCTGCTGCGAAGTAAAAGCATATGAAGACACCACAGTCACTTAGTAAAAATGCCCAGATACTAATGGACATGCTGAACGTGTCTAGTTTACTTCATTTGGCCTGACTGGGTTAAGAGCTGAGTTTACTGGCCTGATCTGGCCAAAGTCTGAGTAAAACATGGCACCTTTCAGAAAGCTGCCCCCGAAATATAAGAACCAGGTTCTAGGGCTCGGGGTCAGGGCACAGTAGTGGGGGGAGCAGGTCACCACCCTTCTCATGGGGGGCTATTCTGGGGCCCGCCACCCACCAGCCCCACTGAGGACACCAGCTTGGACTGTGTGGCACAGTCCAAGGGGAATTTTTCTAACACTCTGACTCGTGAGCAGTGAGAAGAAACAGAATATGAATCTTCACTTGTCTCTAGACAAAACTGCACAGTGCTGGGCCTCCCTGGTGGTGCAGGGGTTGAAGTCTCAGCACTATCAAGCTATGGCCAGCCACTGCAGCATGAGTTCAATCCCTGGCCAGGGAGCAACCCACATGGCACAGCAGATCTCTCCTGTCTCACCCACTGCTCCCCTCAACAGTGTATTTTAGTAGATCTGCTGTTTTGCTCCCCACTGTCTCTGGTGAATCCTCCCCCACTTCCCTGCACCTCTGGCCTGTACCCAAGTTCTTCTATGCATAAATAAAAACTAAATCTTTAAAAAAACAAAAACTGCACAGTGCTTGGCATGCCCTTGAGCCCCAGACCGCTGGCCCAGCCCAGGGAGGGACACACTGGTGTGTGGTGGGTGCTCAATAGCCAGCTGGCCAGGCTGGTCCTTCTCACAGAGCTCCTGAAGTCGGAACACTGGCATTCCATCCAGAATCTGGTTTAAAGCCAATGACCCGCCTCTAAGAGAGCTCTGGCCCTTCCATGGAGGCACAGTGTGTAAGACTGCGTGAGGGCTGTCTGTCGGGTGAGGGGGCGTCTGCCTGCAGGACATGTGGGCGACGGGCCTAGGCAGTTGAGTGCCTCTGAAATGTTTCAGGTGAAAGGCTAGAGGTGAGTCACCGAGAACGGGCTGGAGCGAATCTTCTCAAGACACTTCGAGGACAAAAGTCATTCTAAAAGAGGGAGATTTTTTTTTTTTAATGGGGCTATTTGTGTTTGAAAAATGGGTGTGGGTTCCCGGTAACTCATAGCTTATGTGTGTGCGTGGTGTAGGCCAGGCCTGCGGGGCGTGGCCAGCCCTAACGGTCTAAGTGCGCAAGGGCCCCTGGGGCCTCGTCAGTTTCCATGCTGGGGGTGTCCCCACGTCCCCCACAGCGCCAGGCTTCCCACAGCCACTTTCTGTGAGCTGCCCGTGGTGGTGCTGCAGGTGGTCGCGCCTGTTGTGTCCCCAGGAGACACCGGGAGCCCTGGGCAAGGTCACTCTGATAAGGAGGCAGGCTTCTTCCTCCTGCCATTTGAGATCTGGGTCTGGGCTTCTGTCTATCGCTCGCTGACACAGACCAGACAGTTGGGCCTTGTCTGTGATTAACACAGCCGGTGGCAGAGGCAGCCTGCGGTCTCATGGGACAAAAAGGGAGCCTCAGCTGAATGGGTAAAAGAACAAAACCCCACATCTAGAGAGGGCTGGTCTGTCCGCCCGCATTGGCCTCGGTTCCCGAGGTGTCTGAGGTGGGGACTGCAGGCGGAAGCAGGTAAACAAAGTGCCACCACCTCCCCACCTGCTTCCTTCCCGGGCAGGGCACTGGCCAGGCAGACCACAAAGGCCAGCCATGGTGTGGATTACACATCAGGAAATGGGGTAGGGGAGGAGAAGGCAGCAAGCCATGGAGCCACTGGAGCCACCGAACCAGAGTGGACATCCTGGGCAGGGCCAGAGACACGCAGGACCCAGAGGACCCCCCTGACGCGTGCCCCTCATGCCCTCATGGCATGACGCGCCCCCTCATGCCCTCATGGCAGCCCACCAGCTTCTGTTTACCCGTGATGAGCCCAGATTGTGCCCATCATTCTGACGATGATCATGTTATGGTTTTTTTTCTGGAAAAAGACTTTCAGTGTCCCAAAATACAGTGAATGAGACGCTACCTTCCTGCTTTAAGCTCAACACATGAGGATGCTTTTAAAAAACATCTCACAGAGACATCTTGGGAATCTCTCTTCTGTTCAAGACTCCACTCAAAAACTAACCAAGCAGAAAGACAAACAGATACAGTCATCTTGATAAAATAAAAAGCACTCTGCCATGTTCTTCTCAGCTCCTTCCTCCTACTAAGTCTGAGGCCGAGTAGGAACAGAATTGAGAATTACCGCTTCTCTCCCTAAAGACACAGTTTGCTGCCTCCGACCAGACCCCACCGCAGCTAGGTGCACAACTAGGTGTTATTATCTTTTAAGGTAATAACAAATTTTAGTATGTATGTTATAGACTCACTGCCCATGACTTGTAGGAGGAAGTGAAGTTTAAATCACTTGCAGAAGGAATGTGTTAGCAGCTGCTTCTCTTCCTTAACTGACACATGTAGGCACAAAATACAATGAAGAAAAAGGAA